AAGAATTGTATGTTTGACTATGGTGTTCATTTTTTCATTAGCCATCACTAATGCATTTGAAGAATATAATTCAAAAACTGAAGTTGAAAAAACATCCTGTCCAAAGAACTACTTTAATTACCTAAAAACCAAAATCTGACCATTTTCCTTTGATAGTGCATCTTGAGGAAAATGTAAGCAATAGCTCGGAAAAAACTGTAATCTATTTGTATATTTTTTTTTCAAGAAATCTACACACCATTTTTTGAAAAAAAGCATTTCACACGTTATAAAGCTGTCTTCTGAAATTTTCATTAATATTGATTAAATTGGCATTCATAATAATTCAAATGTATTTGTTGTGCTATATGCTGACTAGAGACTAACAAGTTGTTAAAACTATCATCGTTGCTCAAATTATCATGATTATAATCTGAACAACATTATCATTGCATCATGTAGCGATTTTAATTTCCTAGTCAGAACTGGATATTATAGTGTAGAATGCACTTATAGCATGCCATATTTCAAAATTTATGTTCATTGTGATATATTAATATATTAAAATGGCAAATCCTTAAATAACGATGCATACCGCTATGTATGGAATATTTATAGCATGTTAAATATTTAATCTAGTAAAGTATGATCAATAATAATTAGCATCTTCAACTTAATAATCATTGTTTATTCTTCAACAACACATTACTTCATGAACATGTATTGGGATGTGTCTCTAATATTGGATCCACTCCTTAATTCATAAATAAACCGTTTTTATTATTTTTTCATTTGCAATCAAGAAAGGCCATCTATATTGTTTAAAAGACGTATTGATCTGAGAATAATTTAAAACAAGAGATTTTTTATCGATGGGTCCAATCTTTAGATCCACAGACAAAGCCATTTTTCTTACAAAGCGCTATCCATCCATCCACCGGTATGTTGCTTTTAACCTTTTCCAGATTGAGCTAGAGAGACCGAAATTTTCTGTCTATAATTTGAATTTTTAGGCTCTCTTGCGACTTATAGTAAAGCGGGTAATACTGTATGGAGAAAATTCATTTTTATTTGATGGTATCTTGTTTAACAATATTTTCCGAGAAATAAGTGAACGCCAAAGTCTATGAATGATTTCTTTAGGTTGTCGTTCAAGCGAATTATTTCCACTTCACTCAATTTATATAGGTATGGAGATTTTTATTACTTCCTACCAGCGGGACAATGCCATCTCTGTGGAAAATGACCTGACGATATGATTCATTAGCCACACATACATTATCGATTTGTATGTATATGTATGTATGTATATACAATCCAACTTCCACTGTCCGGCAGTGTTTTTATGGAAGAAAAATGTTTGCAATATAATCTATTATTATTATACTGACCTCATTGCAAACAATTTTAGCCCGGAAGTTGAAAGGCGATAGCTCTGTTGAGATTCAGTAACCCATTTCAGAATGCCTGGTCACTCACGTCCATTCCGAGGTTACTTTCACTTACAACAAGCCCCGCATACACGTAGTACCGATATAAAATGTATATTAGTACTGCGTGTACACTTCCATCATCAAAGCAATTCCTGCTTTGTAGATGGCACGTATTTAGTAGGATGCATTTCATATTTTTATATCTAGTTGTAATCAGTTAGATCTCACCGCTTATGTTTTGTGTCCTCGACGTGGAAGGATCGTAGTCTAATCTGCAAAATCATCTTTCCCGGTTATTGTCCAGGGGGCAGAACGCCAATACCAAATACGTAAAAAGACACGGCAAACGTTGCTTCCGGGAGTGGAGGCGTAGCACCGAAACACACTAGCACGACGCTACAGCAACACAACTATTCAAAAAAAAAAATCTAACCCGGGAATTTTCACAATAATTTACAATATTAAAACACCGATAAATTAATCATGATGAATCTATATTCACATGATAATAATGAAAACGAATTACTTTTTTCCTTGGTACAAGCCAAACAGCACGCGGAAAACACGGAATTTGTGACAGCGAAATTAAAACCGACCGTTTGCGGGCAGAGCCTACTGCGCACTCAGCTACATCGAGATTATCGATTTGACATACAATCCATACACATGGGTAAGGATTCATTCATGTTATAAAACGGACACACATTTTCAGTCACAACTTTTATGTCTGCTAGTTGGATACTATCATCCGTCAAACAAAAGCTTAGGCTCACTCCTTTCATATGAGGCTAGTATGAAAATGTTCTATTGGGGGGTCCAGATAAATTTTAATTTATTCCAATAATGCTATTCTACCAGAGACACTGTGTACTTATATCGATACAGCTGGAACTTCTGGGTGCATTTTAAATTTGCCAAATAGTCTTTAATTTTTTATTCTTCAATGATGATTTACACCAACTAAAAGTTCATTTGGTAGATCAATGTATACGTACGATTTTCCAAATGGTTTGTATTATTTTTTAATAACAGCTTCGGAAAACTAACAATTAAGTACCTATTAATATTTTTGATTCTTCGTTATCATAAATAACTTAACGCTATTCTCTAGCTGTTTTCAATCAATTTGAATTTAATATACACATTTGTAATGTGAGACAACGTTCAAAATGTTGTTTTCGACACACAAGTTAACAATTTTTTAATCTAATTTAAAGATCAGACAAGTTTGACAAATAAGGGCTTTAGCCTTAAGGCTTCCACACGACTGGTTTAACCCAGAATGCAATTACCTCGAATTCCACTAACCCCTTTTTATAATCTTTAATAAGGAGGTTTTTAGCCACAGGCTAGTTCATCTCCGAACACTACCCCTAATTACATTACCCCGAATGACCCATTACCACGAATGATTCATTACCCCGAATGGCAATATCTCGAATGACCCATTACTCTGAATGGCCCGTTTCCACGAATTTCATTACCCCGAATGTATTATTAAACCGATTTAAAAAAAAAAAACAAAGAGAGAAATATTGTCTTCTTCATTAAAGCATGCAAAGCATAACGTATTGCAGGCCCATTATTTCATCGTTTTATGAACTGAAGAGTCCTTAGTACTTATGGTAATTTATCATAACTTGTAGAAAGTTGTCCGGTATTGATGAGGAACGATCATGCGTGTGCGTTAAGTAAACCTTACACGATTGCTTTTATTTACAATAATCGTATTGTCAATATATCTTATATTGACGTCAATACATCGATATTGGCAATATTTAAGTATTCACCCTTTCTGTAATTTACCTTCACGTAAATAAATTGATACGGTCGGGGTTCACTTTACGGACGCAACGAAATGAGAATTTATCCTGAGTGCACTTATAAGAATTTCCCCACTCGATTATATTAGGCATTTTCAGCCAAATGACAATTCAATCGGACATGATATTTCTTACGGGAAAAGTAAAGTAAACGCTTCAATTCATACGACCTATTGTTGTCAATAATTCCGCTTCATATCAATATATTGATGCGTGTGCACTTTACCAGGCTAAGAAATAATTGAAAATGGGTTCAAAACTTTAAACTTGAAAAATTCCTAAACTGGACCGGGAACCAAACCCAGCCTCCTACAGCATGGTCTTTGTTTATAGCTGTGCTTTTTTCAACTGTGCTAAGGTAGGTCCCGACAGGTTTTAAAATTATGTGACTTTATATCTGTGGATGTGCTCTGATAGTCTAGTTAATTAAGGCACGGTTTTATTAGACCAGAGGCAATGGGATCATTTTCCGATCCAGTCCAGCAATTTTTTCGGGTTCACACAACAAACAAATTCATGCGTTGCATTGGATAGCAAACAAAAGTCTCAATTAATAATGCTTCAAAATAAAACAAAGTTAAGACCAGGCTCACGTAAGAAGCGTCCAAATCCAGAAAAGAAAAAAAATGGGTTGATCTTCAAAGAACCTAGCAAGTTAAGATGCGGTAACATAAAGTCGGAAACGGTGGTTTCGGTTCCCGGACTTGTCTAGAACATTCATCGCGTTGGAAAATTCCTGAAGCATAAAGTATCATAGTGCTTGTCCATCAATACACAAACTCATACATTGGGTGACATTAAAATCTCTCAATTACTAACTGTGGAATTACTTCTGAACGGTAAATTGATAGCAGGTTTAAGCTCGTGTAAGAGCGTCAAAGCCTGCAAGAAGACGAAGGATGCTGATTAAACAAGCTCATGTAAGAGCATGAAAGCCTGCAAAAAAAGAATACGTAGAAGGATGCTGAATAAAGTACTCATAAAGTTCACTACATCGAGAGATAGCAAAAGTAGCAATTAGAATATCATGGTCCATTAAAAAGAAGGATATTGTTTTTAACTGTGATGCTCTGCAACTGGAAGTTTATGCAGTTTGTTTTTGATATAGTATTATTAGTATGTGTAAATTGTTAGAAATATGCTTGTAAAGACCAGATGATTTCACATAGCATCACCTCATATAGTTGAGCGCATGCGATTATATCATTTCATTCATGTATTTAATGGATCCTTAATAAATATCATATCGTAAATCCCATTCTGTTTTATGTTACGCATAACGAATAAAGGAATCCTTAAAAAGCCGTGAAAAATAATTTATGACATAGATAATATATTTTTTCATAGTATTTACACTACCTCCCACTTTGATATAAAGCATCTGCTTTTGGCACATTGATAACTTGTATTTATGTTTTTTTTTGTTCTGATTGGAAAAGTAACGAGCTTTTTGTTCCATGATTTTGTGCTGTAAATTTTCGGATGTATTGATATCAGTATGTATTTGGCTTTAATAAACTTCTACCTACAACACATTTCATGTATTCTTAAAAATCAATTTTGAATGTATTTAATAAGTTACTGATTGGTTATAGTGATCGAAAGTATTCGATTTTTTTTACTTGAATAATTTTCTTTCTACAGTATAACTCATCGATTTAAACATTTTAATTAACTATCAGTTAATATGTATTTTTTAATAATGCATGATAAACTTCCCATGACCTTTTGTTGAAAATAAACTGAAAGAGTATTTTTTCATTAGGTTGACTTACGCCACATGGATGAACAGTCCGGTAGTAACATTGTAGACGTTGGAGTAGACTTATCTGAGTTCTACATGTCAGTCGAATGGGATATACTCGAAGTTCCAGCAGTACGGTATGTGCATTCTTTCCACCAATTAAAACATACAAAATAACGTTACTATTCTTCCAGGAATGAAAAATTCTATACTTGCTGCGATGAACCCTATCTCGATATAACGTTTAATATCACAATGAGGAGGAAAACGCTATTTTATACAGTAAATATTATCATACCATGCATGGGTATATCCTTTTTAACCGTGCTGACATTCTATCTACCATCAGATAGCGGAGAAAAGGTGGTTAACATGATTCAAATTTTATTTCTATAAAAATATGACTTTTAAAATCGCAAAAAAAAACTTTTTTCAAGAACTTTAAATACAGAAATTTATGTGAGAGTTTCACTAAATGGTAGATAAGCAGCCCCCCTAGAAAATCTGGATGAAAACCATCAAATTTTGAGTAACGTGTCCATGAAATAATGCTGTTGGTCATATTACCTCGCTGGTTCGTCTTACACCATTTCCCTCTATGCGGGTCCATAGCATGTGGGCCAATGTTACCTTTATGTTCTTGTTCTTAAACTTTCAGGTAGTATGATGTATAAAATGGTTAAGTCTTCACGAATGCTAAAATTGGAGTTTACTTTGAGAGATTCCTCTTTCTAGCTGGTCTTCTCGCCATTTTCACTGCAGCGCTAACATGATCGGCATTATTGCTCTGCTGACGGCGTTAAAGGTGCCCTCCTCTCGACACATATCTTTGACGACATTCTCCGCGCTAAGGGCGAGCCTGTTATCGTCAAGACGACATCGTCCGCAAAGCCAACGATCTCAACTTCTTCTGGCAGCTTGAACGTCAGCACCCCATTGTACATTCCGTTCCACAGCGTGGGACCTAGAATGGAGCCTTTTGGAACTCCCGCTGTGATCCTATGTGATTTCAGCCCCGTGTCTGTCTCGTAGACCAGGACCCGGTTCTGGAAGTAACTACTTAGAATCCTGCAAAGGTAGTCTGGAACCCTCATTCTATGGAGCGATGGCCTCCCAGCTGGCGCTATTGAATGCATTCTTCACATCAATCGTAATCACGGCGCAATATAAATCTCCTCTCCGTTTCTGTTTGGAAGCTTTCTCGGCTCTACCAATCACTGTCCGAATTGCATCCACCGTCGATCTCCCTTTCCGGAATCCGAACTGCCTATCCGACAATCCGTGTTCACTCTCGGTGCATTTCGTCAGTCTGTTCAGGATGATCCTCTCCAAGAGCTTTCCGACAGTATCCAGCAAGCATATTGGCCTATACGATGCTTCGACAACAGCACCTATACGATGCTTCGACAACAGCACAAGCTTTTGTACCTTACACCTATCAGCGAACTGACCCTCGTCCAGACATTTCTGCACCACCATACTGAACATGTTCGGGAACGTCTGGTTCGCCGCCTTCAATGCCACGTTGGAAATTCCATCCGGGCCGGGAGCTTTCTTCGCCTTCAACCCTTTCGCTGCTGCTAGGAGTTCTTCGTTGGAGACTTGTTCAACGTTGTCTCCATCTTCCTCGCCATATGATGTAAGTGACCAGGTCGTTGGGTCATGCTGTGAGAAAAGTCCACGATGACTTTCAGCTTGTTCGGGCACATTTCAACCGGCATCGTTTGACCGCTCACCTTGGGGTTGGCATCGGCATCTCGACATAGCTCCTGGAAACTGTTTGACTTGCTCAGATTTATCTTTCATTTTAGTGCAGCCTTGGCCGCTCAGAACACCACCCTGCACAGCATAAAAATAATTTTGATATCACGTCAAAGTGGATGCACTACAATCATGTCGAAAATATGGTGTAATATTACTTGCAAAAAAGGACAAAATTATCATTAATACAATGCATGAACTGACATTACGCTGCTTTTACTGCATTTGTTTATTTATGTGGTCATAAAAATTACATGAAATTTTCGACATGATTGTAGTGCATCCACTTTGATGTGATATCAAAATTATTTTTTTGCTGCGTGCGCTTTTCTCTGTCTGTTACAGTTCTTGCTCTCTGAACGCGCCTTCTGACTAGAAGACAACTAGCATGGAGGGTGCTAATTTCCTCGTTCCACCAGTAAGCTGGACGCCGCCTGTTCGTTGGCTCCAGTTTTCTCGTCACAGTTGTGTCACATGCTCTTGCTAATGATTTGGTCAACTCGTTCGCGCTTAGGCCTGGGACGCTGCTGTCTACCCTTAGAGTTTCTATGAAGAGATCCTTATTGAATGCCTTCGTCTTCCATTTCCGCTCGCTTACTTTCGTCCTCCGCATTTCCACCGGTGTCCGTTCGCCGATACTGTACCGGATCGCCTGATGGTCACTATGGGTGTACTCTTCGCACACTCTCCACTAGCGACGTACTGCAGAGAGTGACGTCGATAATGGATTCGCTACCATCTTTGACGGTTCGCAAATTGGATGAGACTGACGTTCAACTTTGCCAGAGTTTCCAGCAGGCAATACCCTCTTGCGTTGAACCATCTGCTCCCGCAATCCACTGGTCTGGAGACCAGTGCAATGACGACTGGTCTCCCTCCGTCCAATGAGCTCTCCGGTAAGCCCATCTAGCATCTGGTGGAACTGCTCAATTGACCATCTCGGGGGTGCGTAGCAATTACATACAAAGATTCCATTGATTTTGGCGATCACGAAACCTTCGTATGAGCCCGCCACCACTTGTTGAATGGGATACCTGACTTGTATGGCCGCCATTCCTGCTCTATCCACCACCCAGTTACCATTATCGAGAGGGACTCGATATGGCTATGCAATGATTGCAACGTTGCACTTTGTTTCCGTTGTCGACTGCCACAACAGTTGCTGTGCTGTGTTGCAATGATTGAGATTAATTTGGGTTACCTCCATTATTGCTGGCCCACCATCGTCTTTTTGAACTCTGGGCACCTGAAACTTCCAGTCACATGGTCGTTTCCGTCCTCCTTTTTGCAGAGCATGCACTTCGGTTGCTTCGAACAGTCTTTTGCAACGTGCCCCTTCTCTCCGCATTTCCTGCACAGATCAGATCTGTCAGGACCTTTGCAGTTTCTCGCCTGGTGACCGAAGCCCATACACATGTAGCATATCTCCATATTCTTACACACCCGAGGAATAGCTTTCAACGGGCACACTGACCACCCAACATTGATTCGGCCTGTCTTCAGCATCTCATTAGCTGCGTCCAAAGAAAGTCGTATCGACGCCGTCTGCGTGCCACCATACGCCTTCCTCACCCGAATTGCCATCGGTCCGTCTCCAAGGTTGCATTGCACCTTAAGCGCATTTTCAATTCATCCTCCGTTGTGATCTCGTCCAGATCCCTGCACTCGACCACTGACTCCTGGGATAAGGCTCCTCCGTTCGCCGTCCCGCCAAGAGATTTTTTGACGAGCTCCTTAAAAGCTGCGCTCTTAACTTTCTTAACTTCTTTCTGGGTTCGCCTGGTTTTCACCACGTTCTCGTCTAGTTGTTTCATCTCCGGATCCTTTCTCACTTTCCGGAGGACTGCTGCGTAGGACGTCACGCTTGCTTCTCTCCGTACGAGGCCTAGGCTTGTTCTTCCTGTCTTTCTTCTTCTTCTTTTCCCTCTCCCTTACTTCCTCTTCCTTCCTCCTCACTTCATCTTCCTTCTGTTTTGTCCTCCTCTCCCTCTGGTGCTCGAATTTACGCAATGCCTTCCTCGTCGTCCCTGCGTATTTTGGGCTTCTCCTCATCTCCTGGCGTGTCCTTTTTTCTCTTTTCACGACGGGGATTTGTGGGTCCCTTCGGCGTTTCATGTGCTTCAGCCACTCTTATGCTCTCCTTGGCCTCCAGCAGAGCCTTTTCGGCATTTTCGGCTCTTTTTCTCCACTCTTGGAATTCTCGATCTGCCACTGTTATGCTGGATTTGATACCGGTCACAAGTTGCTTGATCACTTTGTGTACGTTGTTTTTATCCTTAACAAACACATAGAGTTCAGCGATCTTTCTCCTGACCTCCGTCATTTTGGTTCTTCCAAGCTGCAGTTCTCGAGATTTGCTACTGCTGGATATCGGTGTGAATATCTGGCTTAGCCCAACGCCTGGCTGCTCTCCTTGGAAACCTTGGGGTCCTTGCTGGTCACCTTGGGACTTACTGCTGCTGCTGGAACTCGCAATGGCCCCCAGGTTCAACACTGGTGATCTCTGCAATATTCCGCTCCTTGCGAAAACGTTCGCTCCTCCGTTTTCACTGTTTGGCGTATTGCCGTCGACCTTCATATTTATTTTGGTTTTTTCATTTCCTTCATTTTTGTTTTTTCTCCGATTTTCTCGATTCTGATGGGTCCCCCCTCGGGGCTGATATCTCCACTCGTTGTATGTAGTCGCCTATCGTTATCTATGCAAGCAGGGAAGCCATGCTAGGGTTGACACGGTCCTTCATGGGGGTCGTGTTCAGAGCCAGATCGGCGTAAGTCAGGAATGTTACATCTGAGCATACTACTCACCAACCACTGCGGGTTGACAAAGCATTTCCTCTGTCGCCGTGCTATGATTACCGCGCCAGTGTTCGCCTCGAGTAGCACATTTCCAATACAATAAGTTGCAGCAACTTGTTTATGACTGATTTGGGTTGTATAGAAGTTGCCACAACCGATTTGTGACAAGCGTGCTACTAGGGGCGTCACACCCCCTCACTTTGGTATTGTCGGAAGGACATCATTGCCGAGGCTACACCGCGGGGAGGTGTGAGGTAGGAACTTGTGAGGACCAGAGCTGAGTTATCAACTCACCATTTGTAGCCCACACACACAAACACAGACACATGCCAACATCTATCAATCCGCAGCACAAATCAAAACCCGAAGCAATATCATCAAGGGCGTAACCAGGTTTCAAGTTAGGGAGAGATGAAAAAAAAATTACTAAGGAAACTCTTACCGAATTCCATTTCACCGAACGCCATTTAACCGGAAGCCTTTGTGTTGCTGAGTTTAGGGGGCAGGGCAGTTGCATTCTCCCTTCCCCACTCTGGCTACGGCTATGAATATCATTACACATCATTTAGCTTTGGCAACCTCCGTTTACATGTACAGGAATCCTCCAAATACCAATTAAACTAAAAATCACGATGGCAACTTACTTATATGATATAAGGTTCCATTTTTGGGCAAAGTGGTTCAGATGAATGTCGTGTTCTACCGGTGTTTCCATGGTTAGGCCTAGCACGTCTGTACTTCAGTACATTAGCCGAAAGAATGAATCGGGAACTGTACGCTGGGAATCTTACAACCTTTTTTTTTATCCACCACTTTCGCTATTCATGCTCACACACATTCAACCTTTCTTTTCAGCTGCCGCCAATCGAGAATTCGTTTCTGCTTTTTCTCACACATACATTCTTATATAATTACGAAACGGTTCCTCTCCTCATCTTCCAACCTCTCATAGTTTTCTCGTGCGCAGATCGTGCTTTCTCGCATTGAATCGGAAGCAGGCTCTCGGCTCTCAATTCAACCGATCGTGTCACTGTGTATCCCACTGCTTCGCATTAAGATTATATCGACTACCAATGTCGACGCAACAATCTCGAATCGAGCTTTACATATAATATGGTCTTATTTCGCACATAATAATATTTATTTATTTTATTAAATTCAATGTTATATCAACAATCAATACGAAACTAACGATTTTAAATTGGCTCACCACTTTAGTAGCCTATTGGTCCCAAGCAAACGATTAACGTACCCTATTCTATTTGAAATTCTATTACTACACTATGTTTGTTTTGATTCGCTATGAAAGTTTGACAGATAACATCAGGGGTGTGTGGATTCATGCAGAACATGCAGGGGTGAGTGAAATAGCTTGGGACTGCTTGGGACCGTTGTTCTGGTACTGAGTGAGCCAAAAATAATAATGGTTTTCTTCGGGACCCAGTGGTCTTAGAGTTACCTCTATGGTTATATCGTGTTTGCTCATTACTTCTCTACAATGAAGGAAGCCTGTTCTATGGTTAACAGTTCAGTTCCGAATTTCTTCACCAGGTTGCGCACCAATTCATTTCTAATTGTTTCTGTTACTTGAAATTTTTACTAGAGGAAGGTTACTATCTTGGGAAAAATTTGTTCACGTATACAAGATTTACGCGGCCGTTCATTCTCACTCTATTTCTCTCTCTCTCTCTCTCTATCTCTCTCTGAGTGAGATTGAAAGGTCGTGTATTATATTGTATTGTATTTAAGGTTCTACAAAGGGTCAATAATTTGTTAACTTCTTCTTTTTGAAATATTCTTCGATCATCATTTTCTAAATGTATGGATAAAATTCATTGACTTCTTGCCGCAAGATTTTACTGAGTCAAACTTCACAATTCAGGCATAACATTTGATAACGGCACAAAAGCATTTGTAAACAAACTTTCTAAGGCCCTTTACACGCGAACCAAAGTACGCCCACTAGAGTGATGCAAAATTTGAAATTTTCGCTACACAATACTTAAACGATTCCAAATCGGATCCTGACTAACCTCTCAAAATTTGAACCCATTTGGTGAGAAACTGAGATGGCACAAACCATTTGAAGTTTGTATGGGAATTACTATGGTAAAACCAAGATTTTTGTTCATGTGAATGGTGAATTATTAGATACCATATCTGTCTGCTTCAAAAGCTTTCAACTGTGAAATTTTTGCAGCTACAACTTTGCTCAAGACCACTTTTTGATTAAATGCAATGATCGAAAGTTATCAATGGTTCAATGCACTGATGTCTTATGATCATGCTCAATCAACTGCTCAGCAAGCAACATTGGTGTTTCTGGGGTGTTGAATAGGACACAAAAATCATGGCTACTATGTCACACTGCAAAATACAGTGGTGCCTACAGAGCAGCTGCTTGATCATGTCATAAGTTTACCAATCTCTTAAATAATTAATAACTTTTTCCTGTCTCGTTTTACATAGAAACGATCTTCAGCAAAGTTGTTGCTGAAAAAAATTTCTATAAGAATGGCTATCGAACTGTTTTGCAGCTTAATATGGAAAAAGACTAGAAGGCAATGAACAAAAAGTTGAGATTTTCCATAGTAATTTACATGTAAACTTCAAATGGCTTGTGTGAAGTCTGTTTCTAACCAAATGAGTTGTAACTTTGGGAGGCTAATCAGGACCCGATTTGAAACCATTTAAGCACTGTGGAGCGAAAAAGTCAAATATTTTGCATCAGTCTAACGCCCACGCAAACCAATACCACTTTCGGAAAGGTGATAGTTGCCCCTATCCGATGATGCTGTTGGTTTGCGTGGGTGTACTTTGGTTCGCGTGTAAGGGCCTTAGAAAGTTTGTTTACAAATGCTTTTGTGCCGTTATCAATTGTTTTAATAAACTTAAATCCATTGCTAGATGCAATACATCTGGCAACGCTTTTTCAATGATACTTTTACGACTGCCGGCAAAGCAGTAAAGTTGAAGTGATTTTCTTGGTGTTCAATTTTGTTCACCAAGAGTTTTGAATAGCAGTTGTTTTGGATTTTGTGTATTCGATTCTGTGTTATTGTGCTAAGCTTCGAAGAACACAAGTAAGTAAATACGGTGAATATGTTTTACCCAGGAAGTTTTCGTTCTAAAATCATGAAATACAAGTGTTAATTTTTTTGTTATAATAATATTAGAATGTATGTTTAAACCAATGATGATGATTAAAGAATATTTCAAAAAGAAGACAAATACAAATTTAATTACCCTTTGTAGAACCACTGTATAGTTCATAAAGCACTCACGGTGGCGCTAAATTCTCATGTAATTTTTAAGTGTTGGCTTTGCCTGGCGTGTATTAAATGTTTACCTTTTCTTTTCATTTCTTTTTTTTCTATTCTAGGTCACGCTATCTATTTCGATTTTAATTAGTCTTCATGTGTTCTTCCTCTTGGTTGTTGAAATCATCCCACCTACATCATTGGTTGTGCCTTTGTTGGGAAAATATTTGATATTCGCCATGATACTGGTTTCGATAAGGTGCGTATAAAATATATTAATTTCAGATACATATTGGAGTTACTGGATCTTGGTTTATGATCCTATTTTGGAATTCATGATGATTATGCAATTCATGTTGCCCAATTTGAGTAAAAAATTCTGATATAAACTAATGCTGTATTTGTTAGAAATTAAAAATCAATAAATTAAATAGCAATAAAAACAGCTTCAGATGGCGTGATTTTGTCAAAGATACATATTGTTTTTTTTATAGTCACTTTAACGCTCTTGGGTCATTCTTGACTTGTTGGAGGATGAGATTTGAACTCGTGACTTTGGCGTGAGATGTATGGATGCTTACCACTATGCAGGGGTCACCCCCAAACATATTTTTGTTATTTTCATAAATTTGTTGATTTTTTAAATTTATCACTATTACTATAAAAAATCTTTCATGAGATTGAATTTTTAAATGATTAACAATAAATAAATGCAATATTTTAGCTTTTTTCATGTAGTATTTTCATAAAAACTTAAGATAATTTTTTACATAATTAATTTTTCCTTTTTATTTTAGTATATGCGTTACGGTCGTAGTATTAAATGTTCATTTTCGATCCCCTCAAACACATCGAATGGCACCGTGGGTGAAAACGTTTTTTATTGGTAAGTTTGGATGGAAAACAAAATTGCCCAGTAATCATTTACATTGAATTTCCAGATTTTTTACCACGGTTTTTATTCATGAAAAGGCCTGCATACATTGAAAATCATAGGTAAAACATTATTACGATGAATATTGTTTACATGTTTTTTTTTCTTACTTGCTAAAATGCATTGCAATTTTAAGGCTGCACAATTAAAGCTGCTTTTTTGAACGATGTTTACTGTACCATTACAATAATTTGTATTTTAACTGCATTTTCTATCTTTACTTCAATTTTGTAGAAAATTGTTATCAAAAGATCCAAAAACTTGCTTTTATCCTTATTATTCGACCACCACATTAAACCGCGTTAAAGCACGTTTTCATGCTAGGACATCATCAAAAGATGATCTATCTCCACTAAGGTATTTATAAAATTGATTAATGTTTGTTTCATTTTTCTCTTTTTTCGATTAATCTTAATACGGTTAAATTAATAATTATATATCATACGATTGACTGTATACATTCATCGACCAAAATTTTGCAAATGGTAGAAGTAATTTTCAATTACACAGTCTATCAGGCACTGGCCCGTTTGGAGGAAGCTGCCAGATCCATGGCCCACTCCCAGTTCCTCATTCAGAGTCAGAAGAGTTGTCTTTATCAACTGCAGCAGACACAGCCGTTCCATCAGGAATCAAGAGTCCTGTTTTTAAGCAACCATCATTCTCACACTCCAATTGCCCCATAGAAGTCCATAGAAGTTGTTTCTGTGTACGATTTATTGCAGAACACACGAAAATGCTGGAGGATTCCACGAAGGTAAGCAGTATTACCTAAAATATTGTCAATTCAGAGAATTAAATTTCTTCCCTGAAATTGCAATACCATACTGGTATTATTAAAATTAATTTGATTTTTCTTTCTTTTCAACGATAGGTAAAAGAAGACTGGAAGTATGTCGCGATGGTTTTGGATCGTTTGTTCTTGTGGATTTTCACTTTGGCCGTATTGGCGGGAACTGCCGGTATCATTCTGCAAGCTCCGACATTATATGATGATCGAATACCAATTGATAAAACATTCGATGAATTAGCAACTTCATCAGTCGTCCGTTGTCCACCACAATAGCAAACAAGGATTAACCTGGAAACATTGTTGATCCTATTAGGGTGTGCTATCGGAATGAGTGCCTGCCTTCTGATGTATGAGAAAACGTTAAATGTTCGATCTTTTTGATTCGGTTTTTGAGTACAATTGTGGTTAAATGATGAAGAGCTAATTTTCATTTACTGAAAGTAGATAAAACATGAGCCATAAACGGCATGTGAAAGCATGAAGTCGAACTTATTCGCTCTCAATATATTCATAATGAATATGATGTAGATTGCCGTTATACTCATAAAAATAACACGTTTCATAATAACAACATAGTACATTGGACAGTTCTGCGTATAACGGCAGAAAAGCAAGAGAAAATCTAAAGAAACTATCATTCCTGTGCGTCGTGTGAAAGCTACATTGATATTTCATTTGATTGTATTAAATTTTCCGGAAATCCATTATCTGGAAACCCATAACCTGGAAAACCATTACCCGGAAACTCTTATTTCAGAAACTCTAATCCCGGAAATTCTTATCCCTGATTAACCTTTTCCCGGAATATAATTTCCCTGAAAGGACAATTTCTTGGAGTGCTATTTCTACAAACAGACAAATTATAGAATAAGTCAATTTTTACTCAATCATTTACGCATATTTGAGTAAAAATTTAATAATTCTATGAGTGACCTACGCTTTGCGAATTTGAGTGAACGGGAGTCAGATTCATTTGTCGTGAACAAAGAGGTGAACGCCTAAGGGCCCATTCGAATAGTACGTAACGCAAGAGGGAATGGGGGACGAAATGTGTTAACTAGAGTCGGTGTATAATGAGTCACGCCAAGAGAAAAACAGTTGAACTCGCATCACGGTTTTCGAAAGATTCCCTTTCTTTTAACTTGGCAACAGAGGACTTCTACATCAACTTCAAATGACTTCTAGCGAGAAAAAAATAATAGCGGCTGTAGTAAATCATTATATCACTGATTTTGTCAAATTATCTTAACAAAAAATAGTAGAAATTCTCATTACTGATCATTACCAAACGTATCCCATGACAATTGAATGCTCACTGCGTGTTTATTATCATTTCTTCGATTATATTTTATGTTTTATTGTAATACCTTTCGTGGGCCTTCCATAGCATCGTAATGTTTGTTTACTTTGCACGATAGGTAGCTGGTTTGACAGTTCGATAGGTAGACTTGGCTTCACTCTTGGCGTGACTCATTATACACCGACTCTAGTGTTAACCACCATGTATAAGGTATAAAAAAAGTGCGTGACAAGAAGGTGGAGTATTCAAAAATCCACTTTTTGCGTTACATAATATTTGACCCTAAGCTTTTTTACATTTAAAGTGCAGTAAAATAATTGTAAACTGCACCAGTTCGGTTTTGTTTGCTAATTTGGTTAAGATGTCATGCTTCATTATCTTAAGTGGACCTAGGTCCACTATTGCTTTTATTGACAATAATAGTATTGTCAATGCATTCTATATTGACATCAGCATATCGGTATTGACAATATATCTGAATTCACATCATCAATTTAATCATTCCTCTTTGCGTCAATATATCGTCACTTAACGATAAATCGTCCAGCTCAAACCATAAAGATTGCTAAAGTGTGATTGCGTCAGTGATTTGTTTTCATCAGGAAAATTCTCCGCTATAATTTTTTTTCCTGATGAAAACATTTTGCGTATACGTGTACGCGACGTAGTGTGCGTACGATAAACGTCAGCAATCTCTAGTGTAAGGGTAAGAGGTGGGATCATCATCGAATGTTCCTTTAGGCTGTGAACCTCGCTGTGAACCATTTGCCGAGTTAAATTTAACTCATGGTTAAAAGTGACATTTTGAAAGTTATTTCTTTTGTTCGAAAATCCCTGTGTGGCCGATCGATTGGTTTTCGAGCAGAACTTATCCACGGTTGTCAAAATTTAACTTCTTGTCTGTCAGAAATAACCACGCACGGATAGCAGGGTTAATCGATAACTTTCCATCTGTAAAATTTTAACCAAAAGTTAAAAAATCCGCCAAATGGCTTAGTTATAGGAAAAGCACGCCTCTCTACTTTGTTGTTTCTTTCACAGTTGTATAGCTATCTGATAGAGCTCATTATTCGCGTACTTGAACCGGGGTTTTGGCTCCTTGACTTCGTTTTCACTCATTTGTTATCCGTTACTCTCCTGGACCATCGGGGTCGTTGCATCCATTTCGACTACGTTTTCCTCAAGTACCTCTACTACCTGTTGTCCAAAGACGCACCTATATCGTAGTACGTACTTGTGAATGCAATAAATTAGAAATAATTGAAGAATGTTCTCGAATCACCCAGGACGATTTTTTGTCCCTTCACAGAAATTCAAAACAACCCAAAATTAAGTTCTTTTCACTCATCTCCCATGTTCCGTACGATAAGCCAAATTTGGGTAAACCGGCTCAAAGTAGTTTGCATTTAAGCACGGCAAAAAAATTACCCATCGCTAAGTTATTTTCAATTTTTTCTACCCAAAATTAAGTTCAATTAACTCAAATTTGGGTATATTGCATATTACTCAATTTTGGCTTCTCGTACGGAACTAGACGGTTGAGTCGAATCTTTCGTTCTATTTTTGACAACAATAGCGAGAGGAAATGAAACGGGCAGAGGTCAAATAACTCAAATTTGAGTTTAAAAAACCCAAGCGGTGGGTAGTTTTGTTTTTCTGTGTTGATTTGTTTTCCGTACTGAGCTAAGAGAAAGAGGAGACAATAGAGTGACATTTATGAATCAATTTTCTATCAAACGCGAACCAGCGATGATGATTGATCGGGCGAACGTATAGAAACGCGAGAATTTTTACAACAGGGGATCTATTTTCTTGTATTTTGACAGTCGTCGCTGCGTCGCTCATAATGAAAAAGTTTTTGCCCTGTCGTTTTCTCAGAGAAGAAGAACACGTCACAGACAAAAAAAGCCAGTTGTCTCTTCTTCATCTTAGGTACTTAGGCTGTGTTCCATTTGGTGAATTTTCACTTAAATTTGACAGATGGAAAATTTTCAAATAAATCTACTATTCCAGCAGACTTATTTATGACAGACAAGGAATCAACTTTGACAGATGCTTTCTCGAAAATCGGCCGTTCAACAATAGAGGGATTTTCGAACATCATAATTTAGTTTCGAAGTGTCAAATTTAAGTGAAAAATTTCCAAATGGAACACAGTCTTAGTATCATTGCTTCCGACGCCATGGAGGTAGCTCCCACATCTGGACCCTACCTATGGGCCCATCAACACATGGACCGGGGACCAACGGCTTTACTTCCCTTCCGAAGAAAGGCGTGATCAGAGATGTTATGCCTCAGAACATCCCGACGGCGGTGACTGGGATTGAACCCAGGCCTGCTGGGCTTAGAGGTAATCACGCTTACCACTACACCACCGGCGCCGCTACTGTGAACATTTGAATCAGTTCTAAAAGTGTCTAAAAGAAAATAATTTGCGAGAAATCAATGTAAAAAAGTTAATATACAAACCCGATTTTTTGGGGGTAATTAATGAATTATCTGGGCCTTTTTTGCGCGGCGTGTGAGGTGAGGTGTCACTTCACAAATGACAGCGTCTCACCTCACCTCACCCGCCGCGCAGAATAGGTCAAATCTTTTAAAACCAATACTAAACGAGAACCATTAGAGATTGTAATTGTAATTTATTGAATCAAACGTAATCCTTGTGGATGAACCTTGTATCAGAACATGTATCTTCAACAAAGTGGCTTCAAATGAATTGTTCTACAAATTTGTTGAACATTGTGCTGATCGATCTCAAATATCTAAATAGTGAATATTTTGAAGCCCCTAGCCTAAGGGACCACCCTAATTTCTATTACATCAAAAAATTGCCACAACATATATAAAAACTTTCCCAAAGACACCATACACCTTTTTAGGTGTAATAACGGTTTAAGTGCAAACATGTATGTCTTCCTACATACGGCTTTGAGGCCACCCAAGGTAACTGGCTTTTCAATTACTTGAGCATTATGTTATTGGCGCTGAACTTTTTTATAAAGATTAAATCCAATTTGACGTGGTCCAGTTCGCATCGTTATTCACCCATCAAATTGACAGTATGGATGATTTTTCACAAATCGTAATTTAGCTCGTTAGCAAACGAATTGTTGCGAATGTATTAGCTGAAGCGTTTTACTTTACTGTTCCAATTTATACGGCTCAATGCGACAAAGAAGGACGGATCCCTTAATTAGCTTAGCTGAAATGAAATGTTTGCTGAGATAGCCGTAAATTTTTTTTTGCCGAGATTTGCACAGCTGAGCTCGGTAGAAAAAAGTAAGTGTGTAAATATGTATGAAGCTATATGGAAATGTTATCATTGTTTAAATTTGGCTACCAGACTTCCGTCCAAATTTATCTGAACAGAATATTTTCTTAGTTAAAGATGTTATTTTCTTCACAATAACTAACAGCAACAAGTACATGTATTACAAACATTCAGTTGAATAAATAAAAATCTTGGCATTTAAATTGAATCACGAATAATATCAATATGATTTGTTTGCTGACTGCTACTGATTTGTATTATCAAAATAAAAAAAAAGAATTATATCTTAAACATGGACATGTGTTAACATTTTATTTTGCATTTGTAACTGGACTCCTCAAAAGTTCGCAATCGCTAATAAAAGTACGATTTACTTTGTATCGGCTAGGTGTCTTCTGTGCACATAGGAGTTTATGCACCGAGCAATAAGCGCGCCAAAGACATCAAAATGGTTTAACGTAAAAGTGCACTTCTTTATGCGTTTGTGCACTTATAATCACACCTACAATGTGCACAATGCAATATTTATTATTTAATAACCATAACCAAATAATGATTTTATTTTCAAAAATAATGATAACATTTTTTACATTATTTTAAATCATCGTGACACAAAAAAAAAAAACAAACAAACAAATAAAATACAAATGGTAGTTGAAACATGTTCACAATACGAGTGATAGTTACTTTAGTTTTATAAGTAAACGGAATTGCTTCTACATTATATTATTTGTCAACAATACTTTAAAAATCTGATACCATTTTTAACATGACATTTAATTTATAGCATTTAACTAAACATAATTATGTCATGTTGAATCGTGGTAGACAGAGCATCACGTGCTCCGCGTATACCCACAGGCGTATGCAAGATCTGCGAGCTTGGGTATCATGTGGCCTAAAAAAACATTTAGGTTTTAATATCAGGTGGTATTTTATTTGTGTCATCAATAGTTTGTGTATCAATATGTGATTAAATACCTTCTGAAATTATTAATGGACTTAGTTTTTATTTATTAAAACATTTCATGTGTAGTAAAGGAAATCTTCTATTCAATAAATTTGATAGTTAACATCTAAATATAAGACATGAATCAATACCAAAGTTACGAATAATAGAAACCCTAATTTTAATTTAACGATTAGAAAATTGTATTAATTTGTAGAATGCCGTAAAAGTTCGAAATCCAGACATTTATCAATGCCTACAATGCTCAAAAAAGCGCTCAAATTTTATCATGATTTTTGTAGTATTGCTCAGATTCATCACACATATTTATTATGTTGAAAAGTAGACGTAATATTTAATAAAAATGGTAATGGACGGATTAACGAACCGTCCGGTATTCGGTGCATTTCGGTACATGTTTCATAAAAAGCACAATAGATAATTCGTCTCATGCTCATCAAGAAAATAAGCAACGTTTTAAACAATCAGTTGTTACCATAGTTTTCTGAATAGGTTTTGAAAAAAATGTACAGGTTTTGTAACTTTCAAGTCAGCAGTAATAGATTCAAATATTTGTGAAAAATAAATTCCAAGTGTCATTCAATTTTCAGAGCATCCCTCGAAGTCAACCCAAGCATATTTCAAAAAGCTCTCAAATAAAAAAAAAGCCATATACAGGCATCCGTGGAGATGATGGATTTTTTCCACAACTTTGTGTTATGTAGTTTTTGCATAGTGCTAAATAGTACTGCCCCAGGTCAAGCACCTCATGTCTGAAAGTGGATAAGCTCTAATTAAAATAACTAAAATGACGAATAAAATAAATTATGAACGCGTAAAAAATAACTTTGGGTTATAAAAAGGACATAGTTGAGGAGCATGTGTTTTAATTTTGATTCGTTGAGCTGTAGAATTATGTGAAAATAAAATCACAAATCAATTAATGTGTTGTTATATGAACTGAAGCATATTTTTATAACAACTGCCAGTAGATATTTTTATGAAATTTTATTTTATTGTACTATACCTATAAATGAAATGTCATACTTTTACGAGAAATAATAACTATTGTTTTCAAACTAAATTTTTATATGTGTTTGGAACTTTTATTTGCTCAATAGGGTCAATATTACAAACACATTTTTAGAGTAATCTATGTGACATCAACAAAACAAACAAAATGTTAACAAAACTTAGATTGTAGTATCAATATAATAGAGATGAACTAGCAGCATTTATATCAGTCAAATGAAAGAAATTAGCACCGTATAAAAGTGAATCTAAAATAAAAAAAAAACTTATATTTTAAAAAGTGAATACTACAAGGCCATAATAAAAGTAAAAATATGAGAAATCGGTGTTAATTGTTGAATATAAAAAATTTATTAGACATATCGTCACTGGAAGCTTTAGTGGGGGGCTGAAGGATCACTTGTCCTCTCTCTTTTCTTGTCATCCATGCGCATTTTGCACCAAAGCAGACTCCTGTGCTAAAAATAAGACCTCAGAACTTTTGTTTAGCTTAAACAGTAAAAATTGCTCAGTTAGAATGTAATATAGTGCTACATTATAAAATATAATATCAAGCGATACTAATAACACCGAATGTTAATAGTGCTACTTAGCTGTGATAGAAAATGGGTTCAGCGAAATATGTTCTGAGAGATTATTTTCAACACAGTAGTGTAAAATTCGTAATGAATACAAGGTTGATAATATTATAAAAAATGTTTGTCAACCTTGTGTGTTGGCTAAAAATAATAGGAAGAGCCCATATGCTCCCCACTGAAACAACAGTGCATTTCGTGTTTCTTTGCAAAAACATATTCCGAAACCCTTTGTATTTCTTTCTTTTTGCCGTGGCATCTAAGTGATAAGAAAAATCCGCACTAATTCACGTATTTGGATTATTTGGGTCGGAAACCTGGACAAAATAGGACAGCTCAATAATTGAATTAGATTTGTACACCACTATGCACCTATAAACTCAGTTTATTATGTGGCAGCAATAATGATTTCATTTGATTTGTTCACAAACAGCAGCATGCAAAACATTGAGAATGCAAAAAGGCAAATATATAACAACACCTAAAGAATTCACACCATAGACTTAAAATGATCATAATTTCCAATAACCTTGCTTGCCAAGGAACAAAAATCTATTGAAAAAGGCAAAAAACTAGAGGAAAATAGCAATTGAAAATTAAAAAAGTTTCAATAAAAAAATCTTTTTTCTCCGGTACAACCACCAAAAATATATTAAAAGAAAAATAAAAGATGCAGCAACAAATTCAAAAGTAGCAATGTTGCAAACATCATGAATGATTCATAAATAATAGCAGTACTTCCAAATAAAAATCTTATAGCAGCAGTAAAATAAATCAAAATGAGCACTAAAAAATAATAAAAGAGGGTTGGTTACACAGATAAAAATTCTGAATAATAATAGTGATGTAATCATTCATTCGCTTAAGGGGGTATTCCCGATCTTTTTTTTTTTTCAAAAAATCAAATTTTTTTTTTTACGTTTTTTTGTACTTTTGACTATAAACTTTCATCCCCCCAAGCCGTTTTCCGATCAGCGAATTCGGTGTCCAGGCATAGCTGACTAATGGTAAGAACCCCCAAATGGTTTTAACTAAAGTCAAAACTTTAAACGCGTTTTTCTCGAAACCACATTTTTTTTATCGGGCGAAGATTTTTCTCAGAAACTATAAGAGATATTGACATGAATCTATGCGCATTTTGTTCCTTATTAAATTCTTTGGAGCTTCTCCCACTTTCAGCTAAAAATATTAACATTTAACATTGTTTGAAGCACCTTAAAGCTGCAAAAAAGCGGGCTAAAAATAGCCTGTTTTTTCATATGGCCGCCATTTTGTTAATTTGCTGCCAATTTTTTGCTGCCAACGGGAGAAGCTCCAGAGAATCTTATGCAGATTATTAATTTCATCACGAAATCTGTTTCAGATGAAGCCGTTCCAGAGAAAAGTCTTCGCCCGTCCAGGCGTTTGCGGCGAACAGGGGTCTGTTTGCCGCCATTTTGTGACGTCAATAATGTCTTTTTTTTATGTCGAAAAAAATTTATTTGTAAACTTTAATGTTCAATAAACAAGAATCCCAAAGAGTTAGGCGCATTACTATTCATTTTCCTTGAAAAAAAAAATTAATTGAAAAACAGGCCGAAAAAAGGCAAAAGATTGGGAATACCCCCTTAAACTTGTATTTCATTTCACGGAACCTAGCAACTTGTATAAAATGTTGTTTACAACAATGGGCTTTTGTATACAATATTTGCTACATTGCATTGCATGAAATGTCTCAGAGCTTTTCATGATATAAAATGTAAACTTATATGATATGTGACGCTCCATTTATGTGCATCATACTGAACAGATATTTACACTACTTTTTTCGAACTGTGTAGTAATGCAATCTAACATGAAGCTTTAGTGCGATAATTTATTAGCTAGAGAAGGGTCTGAAGAGGATAGGTTGATAGTTCCGCCAGGCAGAATTATAATGGAATAGAAGTTTGTAAATGAGCGAGGGCCATTAATGCGACAGTACTAGTCAAACGCACACTTCTTTACCTAAAGGCCCACTAGAAGGCACATTAGATTCGGATCGAACAGCTAAATCGATTGTTTAACTTTAAAATGTACGTCAACACAACGCAAACGGATCTAATGTTGGTGGCTCTTAACTCATGAATTGATGAGG